TTGGGTGGAGGTTGGTTGAGGACCAAAATGCAGAGACAGAAGGAGGCAGAGATGAGTTTTTGCTGATTCAATGAAGGTAAAGTCCAAGAACAAAATAAAGCAAAACCAAAAAACAAGAGACGTCAGGGAAAACACACATGAGGAGCCAAGTAAGCTACAATAAACCAGCAATGAGGAAGTGTAGAGGTGGTGTATATGGGGAACAGAACAAAGAATGGGAAAATGAGCTGATATGGAGCAGGTGTGGATAGAAGTAACTAGAAGGGAGCTAGGGGAAAGGAGACAGGCACAAGGGGGCAGCAGAAAGTAACTCAAAAAATGCAATACAGTTTAAATATAACACAGAATGGAAAATAAACCAACAACCAACAAAACAGAATGACATAGATAACTGAAAACTCAAAGTCCAAAATGGAAGAGCCATAACGATAGCACATCCTCACCACCATAGAGGTCACATTAGCTCAGTAGAGGGCACTATATTGTAGCTCATGTCACATTGGTGAGGGTGTGGCCTTCCCAACTCTGTCTTTTAAAAAATTGCCCTACAAACACTTCTAAAGCAAAGTTTCATATTTGAAATGTTTTAAAAATATGTACTTTCATTATTTGTCAAGATTAAATTAATTCCCAACCTCTATTGTGTAACATTGCTGATAGGCTGCCTTCAATAATCTTTTCCAAGTCTGTGTTCTAATAGTAGGACTATCTATGCAGTGTTTGCCAACCTGCTGTAGCCATGCTGCTACTGTATGTCCTGTGTTGCACTGTCCTGGCTCACACTGTTCAAGCTGACATTGGTCCCTCAAAATAAAGGTTTATTTCTCTACTGTCTTGCTCATTTATTTCTTGCATCTTTGTTAACTTAACTCACTTTATTTTTTGTAGACCATCAGCCATTCGTAATGCCGCCTTATTTGCCTATGGACAAACAACCCCTTTTAGCAGCCACTGTAAAATAAGTGATACATTTCTTTTGAAGTTTTAGTTCATCAACATTTTTATACATATTATAATATCTTGTTTACAAACACTTTTAGAAGAATGCTGTATTTTTATGATAATCTATTGAATATTACTAAGGTTTTCACTCGTGATCAATTAAGTCCTGCTGTTCATTGCTGTAAAATCAAAACAAAATTAGGAAAAAACAAAAAAAAAAGTTGTGCAATATGCTTTTACAATCCCTTCATCTTATTTATATGAAATATTTTATGGGTCTCATGATTAAAACAAACATATATGCATCAATCTTGTCTTGCTTGTTAAACTTGGTAACTATCTTCTGCTACTACCTTCCAGTCCAATAACTAGACTACTGAGCAGTCTATAGATACTTTTTACACAGATTATTTATAAAAAAAAACATATTTTATGTATATCTGACAATGATGCTGAAAAAAAGAGATGTTGCGTAATGACAACTATTTTCATTACAATAAGTTTGTTTTTCTTTTTGTTTATTGTTTAATTTCAGTTTTAGCAAGTATTTTTGTTGTCTCTCCTTGTCTTTTTATTCAGTTTTCAAGCTACTGTTAATTGTACGAAAATGTTTATGCATTTATTTTATATCATTTACTTAGAATTTAGTTTTCTTTTTTTCCATTATTCTCCTCAGCGCTAAAACCAATGAATGATGCAACTGGACGCGGCGAGCGTTAAGTCCCGCCCAAGACGTTACGTATTCCTCGTTTTCATTGGTCGAATCCCTGGAAAGCCTGTCCGTGATTGGTCAGAATCCTTTTCTGTTATGAGAATATAGCACATGGGGGTTGAGTGAAAAAAGGAAGCCACGTTGACACAAGAAGTGTTTTTTTTGTGTGTGTCCTGGGAAATAAAGGTCACGTCGACAACCGTGTGTCACTCTGGACAGTACAGCTGACGCGTCAACGGTAAGGAATCTGCTGGCTTTAAATGTTTAGCAATTTTACCTTTTGAGAACCGGGCTAGCAAGAGACACAGCTAGCATCATTATAGGAAGCAACTCTAGCTCGTTGGTGCGGAGTGCAGGGTTTAAGTGGACCGTTATACAATTTTTTAATTATTTATTTCTTATTTTTTCCTGTCAAAGTTTTTATTTTGGATTAAATGAAAGTTATTTTGTAATCTCATTGGGAAAAAAAACAAAAAAACAGCATGCTTTTGTTGAAGTATAACTAGCTAAATGTTTGCAAGCCAAATCCCTCACTTAAGTTATAATCCGTCTGTAAATTGCCTCACTCATTTTTGTCGTATTTAATCACGATGTCTGCTGTGTTTTTGTTGTTGTTGTTTTTTTTTTAATAAATGTGTATTTATAACATGTATTCTATCCTTCTAGATGTAAATTTGCCCCATGTGTCTGTTTTTATGTGGACAGGTCATACATCATCAGCTAGGATGAGTGTTGGATTCATTGGAGCAGGCCAGCTGGCTCACGCACTTGTGAAAGGTTTCACTGCTGCAGGTGAGGATTTCTGCAACTAGTCACTCATTTAAGGATTTTCTTAATCTTTCAGCTATAATGACACCTGCATCAATTAATAATAATTTTTTCCAGCTCTACCTCTATGAAAAGTGTTTTTATTCATATTGTTGCTTTAGTCATTACCCCAATAGGTGTATGCGGAAGAGGGTGCTATCCTTGTAGAACAGTTTTAAGGTTTATAAAACAAAGAAAAATTTGTTCCATAGTTTATTGTTCTCTTTTAGATTTATTCCGTAAACATAAATCTATAGTTTTGAATCTGAAATGTTCTAAAACATTACTCAATGGAAGCTATACGCTCAAATTGTGTTTTTAAAGGAGCAAATATGCTGTAGAATGTTAAGCCTTCATGGAATCTGATTTAAAGGCACAAACTAAACTGTTCATAATTTATCATTTATGCTACGCCAGCATTCATAACATGTAGGCGGATCACTGTCCCCCAGACATCCTCGGTTATATTTTTTATATTTATATCTTTTAAAAACAAAGCGGCGCATGTTTGACATCATCTGTGCGCGCCGGTTACCGTTCATTCATCCTGTCCGCTGAACTGCTGCTAGTTTTACTCACATGCATGGAAGATGTCTAGTGCTACAACCACAGATGTTCTCGCTCTCCAAATGGAATTGAACGATTCAGATTAGCTAGCCGAACAAATAGATGGGGTAGAGCGTAGCCGCCTGTGGCCCAGGCTGCCTGTTACGACTCCAGTCCGGCGCGCGGATGACGTCATACACTCTCCGAATAAATTATGAATAGTTTAGTTTGTGCCTATAGACAAATCCCTTGTTGACCACTTCATGCCTACCCAGGGTTCCCGCAGATCCTTAAAAAGTCTTAAAATGCATTGAATTCTTCAATAAAAAAATCAAGGCCTTAATTGGTATTAAAATGTCCTAAATCAGTCTTTCATAGGTCTTAAAATTGTTACATCATAAATAGGATTTTATTTTTGTAATGCATATCAATCAATAAAATAATTGACAATATTTTTTATAACATTTACCAAACTGCTCACTGTAAGCATTATTGGTTCCGTCCCAATAGCGGAACAAATAATAAAGATGTTGCAGCCGGACTTTGGGATGATGTGCCAGTAACTTTTTATCTGGACAACATGGAGAAGTTTTAAATTCAACGAAAAATTTACTATCCATCCAAAAGTTTTCTGCGTGGCTAAAACCACAGCCAGGGCATGTAGATGAAGCACCGTGAGAATCAAGGCAGTGGAGACACATGTGCGAAGCATGAAACTCAAAG